GGAATTTATTGAGAGTTTTTGGGAACTTTTTATTATTTTTTGGGAATTTTGGGGGAATTTTTGGGGATTTTTTTCATCTTTTTTAAGGATTTTTTGGGGACTTTTTGGGGATTTTTTTTTCATTTTTTAGAGTTCATAGAATATTTAGGAAGAATAGAGAAAGATTGGGAAAATTCAGGAATATTTGGGAATGTTTTAGAATTTTGGGGTTTTTTTTTGGGAATTTTATTTGAATTTTTTTCAAATTTTTTGGAAATTTTTTGGATTTTTTTGGGGATTTTTTTGGATTTTGGGGGGATTTTTCTCTTTTTTTTTAGCATTTTCTTTGAATTTTTGGAATTTTTTAATGGAAATTTTCAAAATGCCCCAAAATTCCCAAAAAAATTCCCCCAAAAAATCAAAAAAATTCAAAAAAATGACAAAAAAAATACAAAAAATTCCCAAATGCTTCCCAAAAAAATTCCCCAAAAATGAAATTAAAAATCCCAGAAAATTCAAAAAATATTCCAAAAAAATTTCCCCAATTTTCCCAAATTCCAAAAAAATTAAATGAGGAATTCTGAAAAATTCTTAAAAAAATAAAAAAAAATTTCCCAAACTTTCCCAAACCTCTCCCAAAAAATCTCAAAAATTCCAATAAAATTCCCAAACACTTCCCAAAAATATTAAAAAAAAAACCAACTAAAAAAATTCCCAAACTTTCTCAACCCTCTCTTAAAAAAAATCAAGAAAATTAAATTAAAAATTCCAAAAAATTAAAAAAAAAAAAAAATTCCAATAAAATTCCCAAATACTTCCCAAAAAATTCCAAAAAATTAAGTGAAAAATTCCAAAAAAATTTAAAAAAAATTCCAAATGTTCCCAAACCTCTCCCAATAAAATTCCCAAAAAATTACATTAAAAAATCCCAAAAATCAAATTAAAAATTAAAAAAAAACCCCAAGAAAAATCCCCAAAAATTCCCAAACTTTCCCAAAACTCCCCTACAAAATTCCAAAAAATTAAATGGAAAATCTAAAAAAAATTTCCAAAAAATTCCAAAATTTTCCCAAACCTCTTCCAAAAAAATTCCCAAAAAATTAAACAAAAATTAAAAAAAAAATTCAAAAAAAAAAACCAAAAAAATTTAATAAAATTCCCAAATACTTCCCAAAAAAAATCAAAAAAATTCAACAAAAAAATTTTGAAAAATCTAAAAAAATTCCAAAAATAATTCCCAAACTTTCTCAAACCTCTCCTAATAAAATTCCCAAAAATTACATTAAAAAATCCCCAAAATCAAATGAAAAATTAAAAAAAAAATCTCAAGAAAATTCCCCCAAAAATAAAAAAAAATTCCAAAAAAATCCCTAAAAAATCCCAAAAATTTAAACAAAATAATTTGGAAAAAATCAGAAAAAATTACAAAAAAACCCTACAAATAATTACAAAGAAATTCCAAAACTTTCCCAAACCTTTCCCAAAAAAAATTCCATGAAAAATTCCCAAAAAATCAAACGAAAAATTCAAAAAAAATTCCGAGAAAAATCAAAAAAAAAATCCAAAAAAATTCCCAAACTTTCACAAAAACTCCCCAAAAATTTTCCGCATCGCTCCCTGCGCCGTTCCCGGAATTCCCCGATCCCAAAATTCCCGGATCCCGCCTTTTCCAGGCTTTTTTTTTTGGGAATGCTTACCGAAGCAGAGCGTGGATTTCATGGAATCCGCCCGGGCCATTCCCAGCATCGGCAGCAGCGTTCCCAGGATGGAATTCAGGAACGGAACCATCCCGAAAACTTGGGAAAAAAAAACGGGAAAAAGTCATGGAAAAATATTCCCTGTGGAATTCTGGATCCAATTCCTAAAAATCCAGCTCTAATTCCCAGAATTCCGGCCCAAATTCCCAGAATTCCAGCCCAAATTCCCAATATTCCAGCCCAAATTCCCAATATTCCGGCCCAAATTCCCAGAATTCTGGCCCAAATTCCCAATATTCTGGCCCAAATTCCCGGAATTCCGGCCCAAATTCCCAAATTTCAGCCTCAATCCCCAAATTCCAGCCCAAATTCCCGGAATTCCGGCCCAAATTCCCAAATTTCAGCCTCAATCCCCAAATTCCAGCCCAAATTCCCGGAATTCCGGCCCAAATTCCCAAATTTCAGCCTCAATCCCCAAATTCCAGCCCAAATTCCCAATATTCCAGCCCAAATTCCCAAAATTCCGGCCCAAATTCCCAGAATTTCAGCCTTAATCCCAAAATTCTGGCACCAATCCCAAATCCAGCCCAAATTCCCAGAATTCCAACCCAAATTCCTGGAATTCCAGCCCAAATTCCCAGAATTCCGGCCCAAATTCCCAGAATTTCAGCCTTAATCCCAAAATTCTGGCACCAATCCCAAATCCAGCCCAAATTCCCAGAATTCCAACCCAAATTCCTGGAATTCCAGCCCAAATTCCCAGAATTCCAGCCCCATCTCTGAGCACTTCCCAAGATTTCCCAAGATTTCCTGGAATTTCCTGGAATTTCCTGGGATTTCCCAAGAACTTTCCGGGATTCCCTGCAGATTTCCCAAGGATTTTTCTGGGATTTCCCAAGAATTCCCAAGAATTCCCAAGAATTCCCGTGGAATTCCCCAGAATTTCCCAATATTCTCAAGAATTCCCCAATATTCCCAAAAAATTCCCAAGAATTCCCCAAGAATTCCCCAAAATTCCCCAAAATTCCCAAAAATTCCTCAAAAATTCCCACAGAATTCCCAAAAATTCCCAAACAATTCCCCAGAATTCCCAGAGAATTCCCAATATTCCCACAGAATTCCCAGGATACTCCCAGAATTCCTGGAATTCCCCACAATTCCCCAAAATTCTCAAGAATTCCCAAAAAATTTAGAAAAATTCCCCAGAATTCCCAAGAATTCCTACAGAATTCCC